CACACACACACACACACACACACACACACACACACACACACACACACACACACACACACACACACACACACAAATAAACTATGTGTATTTTGTTTTTTCCCAATAAATATGATAAAGGAAAAATACCCTTTCTTTTACTACTAATCTCATATAAAAGACAGACATTTTCTAATTCTGGTATTAACTTTCCATACATAGTTTTGATATATAAAGGACAGTACAAGAATGTGCATTTAAATGTATCCTGGGGTGTAGTAATATTATATAAGGTCCAACTGGGCTTCCACATATTCTTAATGTTAAACCTTTGGCAACAACAAAGACTTGCTGTTCTGTTAAAGACACAGGATAAATTACTTCTTTAAACAGATTTCTATGTTACTTTACTGACACTTCAGCAGAGCACATAATGTACAATTTTCAAATAAAAAAAAAATGTTTGTTGAATTTTGTATATTATTCTCTGTAAAATACATTTTTTTTTCTTATCTGACTTGTAAGTACACATATTTTTCATTTGTAATCTCAATGTGAAATATATGTTTTACATCATTCCAACTGTGAATTATCTCTTTCCAGTACAATAACTCACCTTCACACATACAAAATACTATTTCCTTCATACATCTGTTGCTTAATCATCCATGTATGACTAGTTATTAGAACGTGTATTTCTGAATAAATATTACATTGAACATTACAGAATATCCAGTGTTTTTTTTCTTTAATATACTAACTATGTTAAGGTTGTGTTAACTGATATAAAACTATAGCTCAAATCTATAGTAAAACACTTCAATTTCTAATATTTGTTTCAAATAGTAACTCATGTTAGTCAGAATTTATTTAGCAAAAACATTTTAATTTCATTTACATATGAAGCATCAAGGTAGCTAGCTTATATAGGAAAAATAATTGTTTTACTTTCAAGTATAAACTAAGCACCAAAGAAGCTAGTTGTATTATATTTGAAATGTTGAGATAATCAAGTCATTCTGAAAAAATTGCATTTTTTGTATATTAAATTTCAGTTATGAACTTGTAATAGTGTGTGTGTGTAAAATAAGAAAAGACATTTGAACACATGCTTGGGCTTTTTTTGTTTATAATGTTTAGAATTCAAAATATTGATTAAGTAAACAAGAGTTTGTGGGTTTAAATCTTAAGTAAGATAAGAACGCCAATGTAATATTGACTTCTGTTGGCTGATATTCCAAAAATAATTAGTTTCTGTTAGATAATATTATACATGGGGCTTTAAGTTTTTTAGTTTAGTATAAGTTTTAATTAGTAAGTTGATGATATTATGTTTGAGTACAACTAAAAAAATCTGTATTTTGTTGTAATTTCATAACAGTTAAGTAGATGTGTCAATATATAGAAATGTAGTTAAAAGTATAAGTTATTTATATTGGGTAATCTTGTTGCTTTCAAGGTTCAGTGGGCCAAAAATTATGGTTGTCATGTTATTGCTATATGTTCATCAGAGGAAGAAGCAGCATACTTGATGGTGAGTGAGTGAACATGTATCATACTAGTGTAGCTCTTTAGACCATTGAGGAAAATGTGTTTTATACTATTACAGTGCTTGTCTTCAATATTTTGTGTACATCATGTTTTCTGACTTTTCTTCTGTTTTCTCTTTTGCATCAAAAGGCCCTGACATTTTGCTACCAGTGTACCATTGATGTTTTTTACTAAATCTAAAATTGACTGATTATTGTAAAATCAGTCTTAACAAGGTTCTGTTATTTACAAAGATAGTGAAAAAAAAGTTAAGCCACATTCTAAAACACTAGTGATCCAAGATTTTTATGAATTTTTATACTATATTTACACACAACCATTCAGACAAGATATTGAATAGTAAGTATATATGCTGTTTTTTACTCACCATATAAATCAAAAAATAAAACTATTTCTTAGAAACCCTAGTCTGAAATTTTAATGTTTCTTAGAAGAAAAATGTTTTGTATTGATGAAATTGTGACAAAAAATTTCACAGCATTTTTTGCCATACATATAGAAGGTGAATTCTTGTTTATATATCTTTACAGTATATACATATAATGCATAATAATTAGAGTAAGTAATTATCTGAGTGTGTATGAAGGCCCTGAATATAAAAATGTAGTAAAAATAAAATAGTGTCAAACAATAAACAGCTGACAAATGAAATAAAAAATGGAACAGTATTGGTACCCAAACTGAATTACAAAGCACAGTAATGTGTATATTCATTAATTTTTGTGTTTGTTTCTTTACTTTCAGAAGTTTTATGAAACATTAAGCTCTTTTTCTATATCTTGATACTAAACATTTTTGTAATTAAAAAGAGTTAAATATATATATTTTGTACATACTCATAATGATTAGACTTTGCTCTTAAATTCAAATTTACATTTGAAACTTGCTGTTGAAATGTACATATTGCCTAGTGAACTGGCGAGTTGTCTGTTTCAATAATTTTCAGCTGTTCATGACCTCCAGTGTTTTACTGAACATATGTCATGTATTGTTAAACCTAGACAAAAATAGTATTTTTAAAGGAATTTTAATTAAATGTGAATAAAATAATTTTGATAAGTAATCTGTTCTGATTTGAATCTTTACTTGTCGTTTTTAATTAAATTAACACTATTATCTTATTTATTACGTTGAGTTGATGATGGGAAAACCTAAAATATGTTGCATATAAGATTTGTCATTGATATGAATTCTATTTCATTAGGCTTTAGGATGTGACAGAGTGATTAATGATAAAGAAGAAAAAGTGGGGGATGTTTTGAAAGAAGAATACGCAGTAAGCTGAAAGTTTTCCAAATATAGGGTTTATGTTTTACTGTTTTTGATGGAAGATATGATTTACTATTTTTATTTTTTGTTTTCTACTTGTGCCTGCTGCAACTAAAAAAATTAAACAAAAATCAGACACTGTTCAGGCAGAATTCTAAGGCCTAAAGGTAATATATTTTAAAGTTACATTTCAGGATATAAAAAATATTCACAACATAATTTAACTGACATAACTAACAGTGAGCCTGATAAATATTCATGTATGTAAGTATATTTCAATATTTCACAAAACAGGTTATCTATTAAAACATGAATTTGATATGTATTACAAATGGTTTAATTTTTATCATTAAATCTTTCTCCTATCAGAAAATTGGACTATTTGCTGGTAGTTATTAAGCTAAATCCTTCAGTTGCTACCAGAAGTGAGTGGTTTAATTAGGTTTCAGACCAGGTTTCTTATTAAGTATTTCTGAAGATTTAAAGTATATTTGTCTTTAAAGTTTTCCTGTACTGAAAAGGCTAATTAAACAATGATTTGTTGTAGTTTTGAGTTTTTGCTACTGTGCCAAGATTAATAGTTATACAGATACTTATATGGTGCACTTAAATCAGAATTGAAAATGGACCAGGACACTTGATCTGGTGCTTTTAAGTGTTAAAAATATTTGTTTATTATGCATCATATGTTTGTGGTACAAGTTTTTTTCATTTTTTGATTTTTATTTAAATGAATAGTCAATATAAGCACACAGACAATTTTTAATTTCCAAATGGCATTACTAAAGTGAAAGACAATTCTCCCTAGAGAAAAATAAAATTCATATGATAAAATTCTTGTTCCTTGTTATTATATCTTTTTTTTTGCAACTTAGGTTTTCACTGATTTTAAAAATATTCTCCACTATTGCTGTAACATCTGTCAAGCATAGTAATATTTTCTCATTATTATGATTTTCCAATAACTGTTGAAAAAGCACGAAACATGCTTCTTGAATATGATACATTTATTTCTTGTTTCTGTAGATAGTTCCATCTTTTAGTTATTCAGTTTGAGCACTTGACCAACAAAGTACTGTTTCTTCTTCAGAAATGGAGAGTACTTCATCAAAAAGTGTGGAAATGGTATTGTCAGTTTTGAAACTGACCACTTTAGATAACAGCTTAAGAGTTAAGTTAGCATTAATTAATAGGTAATATTTAAATATTTTGCCAATCAGAAATAAGGTATTCTATGTGACTGGCGGGTGTAACATATAACAGTTTTTTTATTTTTACAAATGCAAAGATGCATAATTAATTTAACATTACCTACAGTTACAAGATGGGGAATTATGATCTTCTATCCAAATGCTAAATGCTGTCCTGGTTATTAGTAACAGAGTTAGTTATACAGTGACATGTAGCTTCATCAACACTCAGTATATAGCGCAGGATGTGCAGGCCCTCTCAGAGGTTCAGAGAGGCCTGGGTCACTCCTATCTTTTAAGGCCTCTGGCTATAATAAAAGTAAAGAATGATGACACCTGAAAACAAAATAAGACAATCATTAGTCCAAAAGAAAAGTGAAACATAATTTGAATATTTTTTAATTTAACATATATTTATCAACACTATATAACATTTAATCAATGGTTTTATAGCCTTTTTCTGTGCATAAAAACAAATAGCAAAACTTAACAAATTCACAAAAATAACAAGTGCCTAAATTTGTGGCCTCCTATGAGCTTGAGGCTTGGGTCAAATGCCCCTCCTGATCCCCTTCTAATTGGCTGTAAGGATGTGTGAAAAAAACTGAACACTTAACAACTTTCAGCCCAAGTGATCTTAACATATACAGCATTAATACTGTATTAAAACTATTAATTTTTGAACTGAAAGTGAATGAATGTCTTACAGTTTACTCAAGGCCAAATTTCAACTCCTAAAGTTCTTGTGAGATTTCAATATTTTAATTCTAATAACAAAAAAATATGCTTTTGTTTGAGTGTTTGCTAATTTGTTTATGGTAGAATGTTTTGTTCTTTTAGGATGGTGTAGATGTTGTTTGGGAAACAGTTGGAGGGGAAGTGTTTCTAACCTTACTGAATAATCTGGCTATAAAAGGTCGAATGATCATTATTGAATGTATTGCCAGTAACATGATGGATGAAGTTAAGAACTCACCCAATATAAATGAACTATTGGAAAAGGTATTGTTTGCTTTGTTTTATTTAAAGTTAACTTGAATGAAAACAAATTTTCAAGTCACAAATATTTGCCATATGTTACTTTTTAAATGTTTCTGTAATAAACATTTCTAAAAACATTGATCCAATTTTTTTTTTTGTCAGTTGGTCGTAAACTATTGTTGTGTTCATAAATTTCTATTACTTGTTTTTTCTGAATTTCGTTTTGTTTTACAGTTGAATTCAAATTCCCAGTGTGTTCGTGGGTTTTCATTATTTCATTACTCTGAGTATATCCCAGCTTACCTTGGTCAGTTGATTCCAATGTTAAAATGTGGAAAGATGAAGGTGCACGTTGACAATGGACAGCAATCAATTGGAGTGTTATTTTCTGGTGTGGAAGGAATTATAAAAGGTGCAGAGGTGAGTGAAGTTTGTTTATAGATTACAGTGAATTATTTATTGGTCAAAGAACCTTTTTTTTTTATCAGCTCATTAATGAAATTGTTATAATGCTAGCTTTAGGCCCTTAAGCATTAAACTTAAATTCCTGGTTGTTTTTTTTTTTTCACAAAACATAATAAGTAGCAGGGGTGTTGGTAAAGAAGGGCTTGCTAGGACTGAAGCTACCTCCAAAATGTGAATTAGCCTCCATGTAGCCCCCACACCCAATGTACAATGCTAACAGTCAAAGCTGGTTCACTTCCTTAATAATGCACTTTGTGTGCACGCAAGATGTACAGATCAATCCCCTCACTTATTTTGTGTATCCCCCCCCTCCCCCACTGGTAAGTAGTAATATTTTGGATAATGCAGAAGGAATGCTAAAATATTACCTTATCATTGGAAGGTTTTAGTCTTGCATGTTTCCAAGAATACTAGTTTTATGTATGGTTTTAAATGTAAGAAGGAGAATGTTTGTTGATTAAACAGTACAAACCCTACCTCTGTGTATGTGTGTGAAGAGATAGTGCCATGCCACTGATTATAATAACCCTCATTCTCAATTAGTTTCTCATACAGCAGCAGATTTAAAGTTGGTACAATTAGGGCAATGCACCGATGGGTCCCTCATATTGTGGGACCCCAAAGTAATGCAAAAAAACAAAAATTTCTATACCTATATAGCTGAGTATGGATGGGCCCCATAAGAAAATTACATCAAGTAGTTTGAAGTGTTAAAAACGCCTATGTTCTCGTATTTACTTTACAGCTCTATTTTATAAGTAGTAACATAGGCACATTTTTAACTAGATAACTAATAAGTGCACAGTTGTAATATTTGTTATTTAGGTTTTTTTCATAATCAAAGTATGTATGTAGTAATTAGAAGTTGGAACCACTTTCATGATAAATCAAAAGATTCTTATATTAACCCAAACATCTACTGAAGCTCTAGTTATAGCAAAAACCATTCTGTGGTCTTGATCTGTGAACACTTTAAAGAAATGTTAATAACTTCTCATTCAAATTCATAAGCATTAGACAAACATCTGCTGATTTCTTGAAATCTGCACTTAGCTAAATGGATGTTTCACAGGTGTAGATAAATTAAAACTGTTGTATTTTCTCATCCTTTTATGCTGTGAAAGAAATAAAGCTTTTACATTTTAAATGGGTTTGATCAATGATTTGTTTAGATGTATGAAATTTTAAAATTGTATTCTATATTAATATCTATCCTATTTTATATCAAAAATATTAGTGTCTTGCAAAGATGTTTGTATTAACCAAGTTTTGTTTTATTTTAGCACCTTCATAATGACGTAAGTATTGGGAAAGTTGTTGTTGAGATGCTGTAAAAAACAGAGTTGACTAAGAAGAAGGTTAATGAGAATTAAAATCAAAACCAGGAACTTGGGTGACTAATCACTGTTATGAAAAGAAAATATCACACAAGTTAGAACACTAGTTGAGCATTGGAAAGATCATATACTTGAAAACCATAACCAAGTTAAAAATGTTTGTTTAGTAAAATTTTGTGTGAATTTAAGGGTAGATACACCAAGTTATTTGCTCATTACAAAATAAGGGATATATCAGTTGATCTGAATTTAAATTTGTTACTGCCTATATGCAGTGTGCAAAAACACACAATTAATGCAGAATTTTTAGCATTATTTTATATTATGAATTGATCTCCATTTAAACGTGTTATATCATAAAAGTAAGTAATTTTGTATTTAATAGTATTTTCTGGTTTAGTCTACTGTTTGGCATGTAATATTTTAAGTAAACTCATTCTAAAAAGATATAACATTGGGTTTGCTTTTTATTCAGTTTATTATATGCTGATTTATTTTTATAAAGTTTTGTAAGTAAATTCTTCAGTAAAACTAGTAATATTATTATTGTATTTTGAAGTTGTTATATAATTTGTACAAAAAAGAGAAAAATAATAAAATGTTACCACCTATGCAGTGTCTTGATAAAGTATGTATATTTACATGAATATTTCACATTCATGTACTATGATATGTGATTTATACAAGTTTAAGTAGTTGATAATAGTTCTTTTCAAGCAAAACCATCATAATACATTTGTATGTTTGACAAAAACCTAATAATTTAAAACATGCAACGTATGTTGAGATGGAAATGCAGATTATCATGTAACTGACATGTGTGAAAAATTATTAATTTTTGAAGTCTCTTTAGTATTTGTAGGTTATAAGAACAAATAATCAAACTTTGGAATTCTAGCTGTTATTAGCAAGCTTGAGCATAAGATTGAGGAAAGCACTAGGCTTTTATAAAATATTGAAATAGTTAATATAGATGTGAATATATGAGTTAAGATAATTTTAAGGAGGTAGAGCATCAGTCATTTGAAATTAAAGTACAAAGCCTACTAACAAATAGATACTTGAAAATACAATGTTGTATATGAATTATTCTCAATGTATAGATACAGGTGTAATTCAGTAAAGACTACACAATACAAATATCTGTACCACAATCGAAAAAGAATTCTTGGAATTAACTTTATTTCACAAAGTGACAGGTAATTGATGGGTTGGTTATCAAATCAGTGAGAAAAGACCAGCTCACTTGCTATACCTCCACTTACAGTGAAGAGGGTGACAATGCAGTTCCAGTAATTTAAAAAAAAAAAATGCACTTTTTGCACAACCCAGGTGCCCAAAACTAACATTATGAACTCTTTCTACTTTGAGAACTCTGGAGAATGACCCTCATCAAACAGACATTGTGGATGTTGCAGAGGTACAATATACCATAACACCATCAGAAATTACATCTTAATAGCATGGGTTACAATGGTAAAGTACCTACATGGAAGCCACTCCCAACTCCAACCAGTGTTGTTTGCCAACAGCACTGGGCACTGTGATTTTTTTCAACAAGTAGAAATTTGCACACTTCTCAGAGAGCAGACACTTTTATTTGCAACTATCCTCCAAGGAACATTTGTTAAACTGTGATCCCCTTGACATGGATTCTTGTACGTGGTGAGGGGACCTCCCATGGAAGGTTCTGTATTTTCAATTACCTCTTCTGGGATCTAAACATCCACCCATGTATTTGCTGTATGTGGTGACCCGTGAAGGGGAGGAGAGGATCCTGGTGGTTGAGTGGTGTCTGTGGTGCTGCAACACACCACTTTGGCCTTGAATTCCTGTAGATGGGTGGCCATCTCCGAGTCAGAGATCCTTGCTGGTTTCTCCAGCCAAGGAGTTTCAGCAGTTCGAAGGATCTCCACTTGTCAAAATGGAATTATGGTACCAACCTCTGTTGTTATTTTGACATTTTCATCACCACGTCCACCTGCTGCTCTAAAGGCAGATTATTGGAATTGTAAGGTATGGCTGTATATTCCTAACCCTCTCTGATGTTTTCAGTGCCAGTGGTTCGGTCATTCAAAGACATCTTGTCGTGGTTCTATGATGTGTGCTCATTGTGGTGGCAATGACTACGACACTTACGAGTGCAAATAGGACCCTCACTGTTTGAATTGTAATGGTTC